GTGGAAAACTACTGGTGGCAAGTAACCCAAGCTCACCTAGCCACGGGGAGCCAGCTACTGTTTGGCAGGTGGTATCAGCTGCTAAGGCCTATTTCCAGAAGTATTTAAAGACCGTAGCCAAAGTACTGGCATGTGGAAAGGTCCTGCTCCAATTAGTTATTAATAATAATTGAAAAAGTAAGAGAGAACATTTTCTTCCTATACGTTCCTCCTGGCAGATAAACAATGTGAAGGCTTTAAAGTCTCTCATCTGGCTGGGAACTGCTCTGTGCTCTGCAATGGGGGCACCTGTGTAGTGAAGGGCGTGTCCTGGGGGAAGATGCTGGAACTCATGAGGCTTTTTTGATACTGGAGTCCACCAGGAGGTGGAAAAAAACAAAACAAACAAGCCACAGAAAAGCATTGATTGAGTCATTGTGTGAGCATGCCAATTTAAAGAAAACTCACCCAGACACTTTTTGCACATGCGTCTTAAAAATAAGGGATTGGCTCAGCTGACACCTTAACTAATTCTCACCTTTTTTTTCAAACTGGCTAAGGATGTTACTTCTCATTTGCCCCACTGCCCAGAAAGGTCCAGGTGGAAGCCAGAGTGCAGGCTATGGGTACTTGTGTTGACTTGCAGATCTGTAGGAGCTGTGTGCTGGTGTGGGAAATCTGGCCCTTTCTGACTGCTAGGCAGTACTGGTTACTCAAGAAAGCCTGTTTGTTCATAGAGCCATGCTGGTTTACTCCAAGGGCCTACATGGCCAAAGTGTGTTGTATGCTTCGTGCCCAGTTCTTCTCCCTTGACCCAAACCTGTATCTTTCAAAATCAGCCTCCTAGGGTACAAAAGCAGAAGTCATTAGTTGCCTAATACATGCAGCCCTGACTGACAGGTGTTAATGTCTCTGGGGTGGAAGAAACTTAAGTTAAAGGACCATATGAGGCTGCAGAAGAAGCTCACCTAGCCACGGGGAGCCAGCTACTGTTTGGCAGGTGGTATCAGCTGCTAAGGCCTATTTCCAGAAGTATTTAAAGACCGTAGCCAAAGTACTGGCATGTGGAAAGGTCCTGCTCCAATTAGTTATTAATAATAATTGAAAAAGTAAGAGAGAACATTTTCTTCCTATACGTTCCTGCTGGCAGATAAACAATGTGAAGGCTTTAAAGTCTCTCATCTGGCTGGGAACTGCTCTGTGCTCTGCAATGGGGGCACCTGTGTAGTGAAGGGCGTGTCCTGGGGGAAGATGCTGGAACTCATGAGGCTGTTTTGATACTGGAGTCCACCAGGAGGTGGAAAAAACCAAAACAAACAAGCCACAGAAAAGCATTGATTGAGTCATTGTGTGAGCATGCCAATTTAAAGAAAACTCACCCAGACACTTTTTGCACATGCATCTTAAAAATAAGGGATTGGCTCAGCTGACACCTTAACTAATTCTCACCTTTTTTTTCAAACTGGCTAAGGATGTTACTTCTCATTTGCCCCACTGCCCAGAAAGGTCCAGGTGGAAGCCAGAGTGCAGGCTATGGGTACTTGTGTTGACTTGCAGATCTGTAGGAGCTGTGTGCTGGTGTGGGAAATCTGGCCCTTTCTGACTGCTAGGCAGTACTGGTTACTCAAGAAAGCCTGTTTGTTCATAGAGCCATGCTGGTTTACTCCAAGGGCCTACATGGCCAAAGTGTGTTGTATGCTTCGTGCCCAGTTCTTCTCCCTTGACCCAAACCTGTATCTTTCAAAATCAGCCTCCTAGGGTACAAAAGCAGAAGTCATTAGTTGCCTAATACATGCAGCCCTGACTGACAGGTGTTAATGTCTCTGGGGTGGAAGAAACTTAAGTTAAAGGACCATATGAGGCTGCAGAAGAGCTGAGAGAGAACGGGAAGGGTTTCTCCAAGGGTTGGGGACATGCTGTACCAACCTATTCCTGTGAGACCCTGGTAGAGCTCCAGCTGTTGTCCCTGTGCATTTCCTGGGTGTGGGAGAAGAAGAGGGGTACTGAGGCAAGAGGTGGGCCAGCCAGAAGATTAGTGTCCCTTTTGTGTGATCCCCAAGTAGATCAGCATCCCTCACTGCTGTTTTTCTGCTGCTTTGATTTACACAAAGACCCGAGATCAGGAGGCCACCAAGCTTATGTTACAGCTGCTTTTGCCCTCTCTTTCTCTGCTCTGCTTCTGTATTGTGGCACATAATTTACTCCCTGACTCTCCATCCTGCAGTTACAGTTCCAGCTCAAAAGTGTGATTACAGCTGCAGCATTGCTGTGTCATTGCCTTTTGTTTGCCACAATACAGCTCTCTTTGGGCAGAGCAAAAAGGAAGAGAAATAATAATGATGCATGGGTGGAGGGGAAGATCTGATGTGCCTTTCCAGCCCATTTGCTGTGTATTTCATCTCTGGTGGGGGCTCTCATTAACTAGTCACTCAGCAGAAGCAACCTCCACCTAAAGGTTAATTTCCGCAGCGGTTGTTGCTATGTTATTTGATGGTGGGTAATTTCCAACCTCAAAGGATTCTTTTACTCCTACCTAGTATTTAATGAGATTAAATTGCAACTTCTTCAGGACCTCATGGTGGAAGTGTGTATGTGTGGCAGGTGGCCACCAAAGCTTTGTGTGGACTTAATAGAAAGGCACTTGGTGAGCAGAGAGAAAACCCTTTCATAATGAGGGGGAAAAATAGTGGCAATGTTTGAAAGCTTCGTAGGTGTTAATAAAAGATACTGCTTTTTCAGTTACACAGAATGATAAATACAATGGCCTTCTGCAAGAATCTGTCTGTAGGGGACATTATTGTAACATAACTTTGATGTACACAGGATGCTCCTTTTAAGGCCTGGAGCAAGATGACCTTTTAAATGAGGTGACAGTGGGCTGAGTTTTCCAGTTGATATAATGGTTCTGAGTCCCATTCTGACCTTGCTGTGTATTTATAATCTTTACTGGCACAACAGCAATCCAGTGAGACCACTGAAGGCAGTAGAGCTATTTCTGTTCTGTGTCAGGGTAGTTGATGTCAGGCTGAGCTTTGATAAGTTGCTGCAGGGTGCTCATGTTTGGTGTAGGTGGGGCAGCAGATGGGCAGAGGTGGGCACACGCAGTCTTGGCTGGGTGAGGGGTTGTGCCTTCAGTAGGGAGGACTGAGCTGTGCTTTGCACTTGTCCAGACTTGCTGTTGTAGAAATACTGAAGTACACCAGGAGCTGGGGCCATGGTGTTGTCAATTTCTGTACCCTCTCGTGTTTTCTCCAGGCTGCTAAAGCTGATTACATCTAGCACTGAACACAATGGAATATGTTTGACACGGAACAGAAAAGCTTCCCTGTGGCTGTTCTGAAAGATTATTGCCAATGTGTTTGCCTTGCATTTTTATATGTACAGAGGTTTAACTCCTTGCTCTTGACCTAGATTCTAGGCAGTCCACAAATCTCCTACTAGTTGGTTTCTGTGTTCACCTGGAGGGCAAAAGTTCAACAAGCAACAGATGGGTGAAGTATCCTGTTGAGGTAGTGCTTTAGAGACAGATGAGAGCTACTGGATACTCTTTCTGCATCTCCATAGAGGAGAGAGGAATGTGGGGTGCAGACGGAAGCTCAGCATCCCAGGGAGTTGGACTGCTGGTGAGGTGTCAGGCTTGGCAGAACCAAAGCTGAACCGAATTGTGTTTTATGGTATTGGTACAAAGGCTTTTTGCATTCTCAGTTTCCCAGCAGCTGTCAGGCAGCTGTGCTACACAGGCTGGGGAGGAAAGCCAGCCACAGTAACAACCCAGGGCATCTCAGCTGTGCAGGGGCTCTTGTTTCACTGCTGTTAAAGACCTACTTTTGGGCCACGGCTTGGTGGAGGAGGGGATGCTGGAGATCACCGGAGCAGGACCCTGGTCTGAGCCAGTTCCTTCAGCTCCAGTGGGCACTGACCTCACTCCTCTGTTCTTCAGGCTGCCCTGACATGATGCTGGCAGTACTGTCTGTCAGGCTGGTGTGTTTCATAGTGGCATTGCCCTGACTGCATCTGCCTCTGGGGTTGGCTCCAGGCTTAGACCAGGTGCCTCTGGCGGGAGTAACCCCAGGCTGGAGCATCTTGCTGCAGCCTTTTCTGGTCATCCCTCCTTCATTCCCCAGGCGTGGGCAGGGGTCTCAGCTGCTGAGGGGAAGGGTGCCTTGCTGTCCCAGGGGCCAAGTGTCAGTACATGGAGCCAGGGTGGGTTTCAGCTGTCCAGGGATTAGCAGAAGGCAGCTGTGTACAACGTAGTCTCTGACGCAAGCCTGCTTGTGTGAGGGAATCTCTTTCCTGCCCCTGGCACAGGCCAGCAGCCTCCCAGGGAGATGGCCAGGGACCTGTGCATAGTTCCCCTCTGAGATCACCTGCTATGCTGGTACGGAGCTTGGCCCCAGCCTCTGCACACAGTGCATTTGAAATGGCCATCCAGTGATGCAGGGGATGTGTTTTGCTGTTTGAAAGTATTTGTTCTGCTTGGGAGCTTTACCTTACAAGGGTAACAAACAAAACTGTTCTTGGATGAGGGGCCATGCCGAGTGCCAGTTTGAAGATGGAAAGGCAGACCGTCACCCTGGAGAGGAATAAATTAAGATTTATTTGGGTTTTTTGTACTGTTTGACGATGTGGGAAAATCAGGATCAGTATCCTGAGTCATATCAAGCTGCAGCATGACACGGAGGGAAACACTGTTCCCTTCTAGGAGCATGGGAGTTTGATATTGGTTATCAAATGGGGTAGTTCTCACAGATCTGAGAAGGGTGGGCTCTCTTGTGGTGTGCTGACCCAAACACTGTTGTGGTTTTTTCCTTCCCTACAAGGATGGTCGAGATTCAGGCCCTTCCCTGCCTGAACCGTTGCATTTATTCTCCAAGCAGTGAAATGGGCTTTGGCAGGAATAAATTTGTGTTGGCAAGAAAACACTTGTCCTGGAAGTTAAAAAAATACTGCTAAAGGTGTCTTAGAGGTGTAATTATGAGTGCTCCCCAGCGCTGCTGTTGCCTTGACGCCGTGCACACCAGATACTTAACAAATGGACAGCCCTCCGTGGAACGATTCCCCATCAGCTTTAAAACCCACTTCTCAGGGAACTATTTTCATCATGTGGTGCTTGGGATTTACTGCAACGGCCGGTACGGGTCGCTGGGCATGAGCCGACGATCAGACCTGATGGACAAACCTCTAACGTACCGAACTCTGAGCGACCTCATCTTTGAATTTGAAGACTCCTATAAAAAGTACTTGCATTCAGTCAAAAAAGTAAAAATCGGATTATACGTCCCGCACGAGCCGCACAGCTTCCAGCCCATCGTGTGGAAGCAGCTGGTCCTCAATGTGTCCAAAATGATGCGCACAGAAGTCAGGAAGGAGCTGGAGAAGTTTGCCAGGGACATGAGGATGAAGGTAGGTCAGCGTGCCTGGGCGGTGGGCTCAGAGGTGGTTGTGCCTCACTCCGTCCTACAGAGGCTGTTCTTGCTCCGTGTCAACAGACTGATCCTTGCCTGAGGTTAAGGTGGTACCAGGTGTGCTGGGGGGGGGTGCTTGCATCTGTCTCAGTGGTTCTCCCACAGTGTTTGGTGTGTTTTCAAGCCCTTACAGCAGTTTTTTTAGTTCAAAGATCTCACCTTCAGCCTGCAGAACACTTGAACACTCCTCCCTGGCCATCAAGGAGCTCTTCCCTCGTTTTTTTTCAGGCTCCAGAAGAGGTGGCTGGGGAGAACCAGAGTGCCTGGGGCTCGTGGGGTGGGTGTCCTGATTGCTGGTAGGAATATCTGCTCTGGCACCTGAGCTGCAAGGGGTACCATAGGACAACTCTGTCAGTGGTTGCTTCTCTTTGCAGGGCATGCTGGTGGGCTTGTGATGCACCACCTGATGCCCACCAACCTTGGCTAAATCACAAAGTAGGTTACATGGGAAGGCAAGGAATACAAGTCTTTTGACAGGATGGTGCTTACCCGGTGGCTGGTTGGACTGAAGAGCCCAGAGGGAAATGACAGGGAGACAGGCAGGCTGCCAGGGGGCTGGACAGTTTGGCTGCCTTTGAGAATGAGGGGGTGTCCCTGACCATTCCTCCAGGGCTGGTGTGGGTGAAGTGTTGCTTGTGGTCACGGTGGAAGGGGATTTGGTGCCTTTCCAGCCTGCTGCTGGCAGCAGGGGCAGAGCAGGTGTGTTGCTAAGTATGGGGCTGGCTCTTGTGGAGAGGCATGCAGCATCCCATCCAAGTTATTTTGGGTTCCTGTCCCCTGCTCTGCTGAGGAGTGGCTCTTATGTAGCAGCCATGTGCCTTTTTGGCTGAGGCACCTGCCTCCTTTCCCTGACTTTGGGGTGAGTGTCACCAGTGGCATCATAGCCCCAGTGTCCTGCTGCCACCTTTCCTGCCTTGCCAAGGAATTTTGAGGGTCACCTTGTGCCATACTGTCACCTTAAGCAAATGTGCATGATTAGAAGTGTAGTGAAGAACCTTCCTGCCCAATCTTTTCTACTCAGGCACTTTTAATACCATCTAGAGAGCAAACAGCTGAAGCAGGCTCTAGTTGAAGTCTTCATGGGTGGATGACTTATGGAGCTTCATACTTCACAGAGGGACCAGCTCTGTTTGTGTGCTGTTTTTGTGACATTAGGTCCAGTCTTTGTAAATGCCCCCAGGCCAGGACTGCAGACCTGAACCATTGAAGGTTGAAGGCCTTGCATCTGGCTCTTCCCTTGAGTTAGTGCAGAATTTGAGCCCCTTGATTCAGAGGGCTCCCATTGTGACGGGTCTGACTTCGGGAGGGGTCTGGTCCTAAAAACAGCCTGGGGTGTGTGTGCTGTGCTGAAGGACTTCTGAGGTTGGAAGGTCTAGGGGACGTGAGCAAGTGTGTGAATGGACAGGAGACTTACTGAAAGGTCCCACTGTCACACAGGGCTCAACTGCGAGCCTGGGAGGCGACTGCCTCTGTTCGCAGAGACGAAAGCTGGAGAGGCCAGTTTGGCCACGTGAGTTTCCTTCAGCTGAGACTCAAAGCTGTTTTTCTTATCCCTTGTTGTTGCCAGCTCTGAAGAAAGCTGTGGATGAGACCTTTTTTTCAGTATTTAGCTGGGAACTGAATTGGTGATACCAACTAATTTTTCAGGGTGCCCCTGAACAGCTATCACATGATAACTGCTTTGGCTTCCTCTTAACTTGGGCAGGGTTTGAATAAACCCCAAGGGACTGAAGGCTCTTTGTATGTCATTCCCACTACTGTATGAGGCCCTTTATTTTTATTTTTCATTTTCAGTGAATCATTGCCTTTACTGAACGCCTTTTCCTTCCCTCCCCCCTCTCTCAGATTCTGAAACCCTCAAGTGCCCATTCTCCAATGAAAGAGAGGTCACGGGGTAAGTCGCTGTCCCCTCGCCGAAGACAAGCCAGCCCTCAGAGGCGCACATGCAGAAGAGACAAGTCGTGAGTATTCCAGCTGTAATCACTGGTGGGTCAGAAGTTGAGGATGATGATGTGTTACTTTGCTGCACAAAACTCACCTGTGTACACTAGCATATATAGGAAAAATGTACCAGGTATTTTGGTTGCCTGAGAGGCTTCAGAAGCCACCAGTGCTGCTGATGTCCTGGTATTCCTGTGTTTACTGCTGCTTGATGGCCCCTCCATATGGTGTCCTTGGAGGCCAGGGTGGCCTTTGCTTGGTTAAATCTTACAGGGCTGTTGGATGGCTGTGAAAGTGGAAGTGTGGGTTTCACCTTTTCTTTTTTTCAGTCTTCATACAGTCCACTTTCTGGAGAAATGAACCTCGGGAACCTATGTAGGAGGTAGTAGTTTTAAAGTAGTTTGATAATGTTTAAGGGTGTTTGGACATGGGTATTAAAAACAGGAAGATGTATCTGCGAGTGGTGGTGGGGTGCTCTGCTGTCATGGTCACTGAGACAAAAAATGGATTGTCCATCATGAGCATTTGTATGGAGCTGTCCTAATGGAGTATTTTTTGCTAAGGACTGTCTGACTTACAGTCAGATCACTAATAGTCACATATAAGACTGACTTATAGTGAAAAAGTAAACCTTTTCTCTTCTTGCCAAAGCAGAAACATATTTTGCATTGTCTTTGATTTTAATTGGCTTAAAAAAACCCAAAACAAACCACTTCCCTGTGCATCGTAGCTAATAGTTCTTTAACTGTGTGGTGAACTGGGCCAAACTGCATGTAGTACCTCTAAATGAATAAACTGAGGTTCCAGATCATGGCCCTTTTACAGCCACTGACAATTCAGATTCCCATACCTTAAATGTGGAAGAGTTGAGTTTTAGCTGTACTGCCTCATGCCAGGAAGCTGACTACTGTGAAACGTAACCCAGATGAGTCACGTATTTATTATGATCATTGCTTTTTAAATAGGCTCCCAGACTCCTGTCTGAGCACTTATTTATTTATTTTAAAGCAGCTAGCAAAGACATTAGACTAGCCTTCTAAAAATAACTTCAGGGTGCTTTAGCAGCAGATGATTTCACAGCAGGCTTTTATTTTTACATGTGAATTCACACTCAGTTTGTGGTTTTGTACTTTGGGCTTCATCACAGAGAGCTCCTTGGTTAGTGCATGAATAATTATAGTTGTAAATGGGCTCAGTTACTCCAGGCTTCTTCACCTCCTAGATTTGCTTTGAGGGATGGTTTCATCTTTGGGTTTCTGATTGTCATGGTTTAACGCTGGGCTGGCAATTAAACGACAGATGATCTCTGTTTAACTCCTCTCCCTTCCACCATGGGGAAAGGAGAGAGTGTAAGGGAGAGAAACTTATGGGATGGAAACTAAACTGCACAGCTTTAATGAAACAGTAGTGATGAAAAGGAAAATAATGAAATATATATAAATGTAATACAAAGCCACTGTCACAGTCATCCTCCAGTAATGCTTGAGTCACCACTGAGGCTGCAAGGCAGCCCTGGCAAAGCCCCAGACTGGGCTTCTGGGGTCAGCAGCAGACTGGATGCAGGAAAGCATGGATTCAGAAATGCATGGATCGGGATCAACAGCAGATAAACGGCTGGCCATGGCTGAAGAGAGCTTGGCTCTCATGATCTGTCAAATTAATACCAAGTATGATGCATGCAGGATGGAATACTTTGTTCAGTTTTGGTTACCTGTCTGGTTAGCTTTTCCCAAAGGAGGATCGCAGGTGTGACGCCTTTACTCCCTTTTGTTTCCAGAGTGTAAGATGCTTTGGTGGTTTTGCTGTGTTGCTCTGTATCTAGGGCAAATTATATGTTGTTCTAAAATAAAACCTGGGTCACCATAATGCAAGATCCAGGACCCAGCTATAGCGTGATGCGGGAAGTGGGGGACTGAGTGTGGACTTCACACCAGATCTTCATCTCTGCTGGGTGGGAGCTCTTGCAGCACGTGCTTTGTGGCTGTGTCACAGGCCTGCAGGTCCTGCACAGCCCCCTCACAAGCCTGGCCTAGGCTTGGAAGGAAAAAGGGGGTAAAGGAGCTTTTGCCAGGTCCAGGACCCTTCTGCAGACCCAAGAGGCTGCTCTGTGTTAGAAGAGTGTTGCCAGGGAGAGGAACTGGGTTCCTGATGTTAAAATGATGCTTCTGTGCAGTGGCACTGGTGGCTCAAAGGCCAACTGTACCTTTCACCCCAACAGGATTAATGCTTCTGTACAGAGTTCCCTGCTGGGGATAAAACCCTTTCATTGTCAAATTAAAGATCTGCTGGTTTCTGCAACGGGAGGTCTCTGAGACCAGAATGGGGGGGATTGGCATCTCCTTATCAGGGATGAGCTGAGTGACACATACCAGAAACACCAGAGGAGAAACTGGGAGTTTTCTTTCACATATTGATGGATCTCTGAGAACCTAGTTGCAGTGAGAAGCCTTTGTGTTACAGAAGAGCAAAGACTTTCATCAGGCTCGCTAGACTTTAGGCTGAAATCCTAGCTAAAGGAGGGCCATGCGTATCAACACTGTGTTTTGTTTCTTTGTGGATCTCTTAACATGTTGCAATTACAGCTTTTTAGAGTTTGTAGGGGAGGGGTAGAGAAGTGTTTTGCTCTAGTGTGAGCTGGCAGGGGCTGAATAACGCATTCACTGGAGAGGTTTTACCTGCTGATGACAAGCTGTTATTACAGCCTGCTTTTTGTCAACAATAAAATTATACGGACCTGATGGGAGAAATCTGCCAGTGAAAAATACATTAACTGGAGTGTCTTTGCTGGATTGTTTCTGAAGGACAAAGGCTGAAGCAGTGCTTAAAGACAGAAGTGGATTTTACTGCTTCAACCCTTTAACTTTTCATCCTGGTTCCTTCCTAGCTTGTTAGGTAAATGCCAATGATGGCTGCTAGCAAACCCATGATAGTGTTTATTCTGGAAATACAGCTACAGGGCAGACAGGGTATGTTGCAGGACATGTGTGGCAGTGCAATGAGCAGTGCATGCCCGTCTAGGAGACTGATGTGTGGAGATAGTCTGTGTGCTCTTAGCTCACAGCTGTGTGATCCTGCTAAGGATGGCCAAGAGACAGGGTGAATAAAGAGGATATAGGGTGATGTGAACCTGTCTGGTAAGTCTCCTTTACTGTCTCCTCTTGTCCATCCTCCGAAGTCCCAAACCAAGAGGCTGCAGCAAATTGGAAGCCACTGTCCTGGAACAGGCAACACAGTGCTTCCTCTTCTATGGAAGTGCTTGGAGCTGAAGGCGTTTGGGAGTGTTCATATGAGTTTGGAAGGGAGCATCGTGTGGCAGCCTGAAGCAATCTCTGCTCCTTAGTGTCACTTCATCAGATCTAATATTAGGATGTGCAAAATCGGGCAGATCCGATGCAGACAGCTCGGGAATACTGTGTGCCCAGCAGCTATGCACAGCTTATTCATGTGCTCATCACCACAGCACTTGGGATGGGAGGTGCGATCTGATGGGCCAGTACAGCAGAGGTCCCTTTCTTCAGAGGGGATGTTTGACATCAAGTCATTTGCCAGCCAGGAGCTGCACTGCCTCTGCTCCAACAAATCCTTGTCTTTTCCTAAAACTCCGATGATAAACCTCATGGAGGAGAGTCTGTAGCTACAAGCTAAAGAATCGTCATGGAGTCAAAATGGGTGTGCAGTGACTTCCCATAGATAATCATAGAAGTCAGAACCATCTGGGTGTGCTTTAACTAAAACCATATTCTGGCTTTAATTAAAGGGAGGGAGTAAAGATGTTTTAGAACATACAGTGCATCCCTTGCTGGTCTCCAACTCCTATGCAAGCTGTGAGGGATGCAGCTTGTGACTTGTGTTCTGGCTAGTCAAATCCCATCTGCTTTGAAGGACCAAAGTGGAAAAATCCAAACTTACAATGCATTGTTCAGGTGTGATCCCTTCCTACAAGTGACAGAGACACAGTGAAGACTCCTTCACTTCTGTGAAGTACTTACAAACATGAAGTACTTGCAAACTGAGACAAACATGAGGCAGGGTTTGGGGCAGCACTGCAAGGAGGATTATGGAGTTGTTAAAAGAGGTGCTTGGATAAGTGGCAAAAAAAACAGGTTGTCTTCAGTGTGACTAGGCAGAAGAGTATTTGTTGTCCATAGCAATGTCCACAGGTCTCAATATGTGTGTGTATATATATGTAAACTATACATCCCCACCTCTTAGGGCTGTAGCAGTAAAGCTTTCAGGTGTGTGCACCCAGCAGCATGCCCCAGGAAGGGAAAGGGTTTCACTGGCCTACAGCCTGCCTGCCTCTCCTGTGGCTGTGCAGGCTGCCAGAAAAAAGCAGGCAGAGTACAACAAGGAGGCAGTGTGTGTAAACTCATAGTTCACATCTGCTGTCCAGCAAGCAAAGAGTAAGGGCAAGAGCTGGAAACCACGTCTGAGGACCTGTAGGAAAGCACTGGAGCCATTGCCAACATCATCTTGTACTACTTGGGCCCTAGCTGAATTTTTGAGGTGAAGTGGATACATTGTAGAGTCCACTAGGAAGAATGTGCATTTTAGACAATGTTTTTCTTTAGAAAAGCAATCATAAGGCTTAATGAGAAAAGAGGCTGGGATAAGGTCTCAGATTAGATTCTGCCATGGCTGATGTGGGAGAAGGGTGCTCTTAGGCTCTGATCACGGACCTCAAGATGAGATGACTTGTTCTTTGCTGGCACTGGGCTCCAGAGGCAATTCACACGAGTAGATTGATGG